AGAAAGAAAGAAAGAAAGAAAGAAAGGGAGGGAGGGAGGGAGGGAAGGAAGGAAGGAAGAAAGTGGAAAGAAGGAAGAAAAAGAAAGAAAGAGAAGGAGGGAGGGGAAAGGAGGAAGGAAGGAAGAGAGAGATAAGGAGGGAGGGAGGGAAGGAAGGAAAGAGGAAGGAAGGGAGAGAAAGAGGGAGGGAGAAAGGAAGAAAAAGAAAGAAAGAGGGAGAGAAGGAAGGAAGGAAAGAAAGACAAAGGAAGGAAGGAAGGAAGGAAGGAAGGAAGGAAGGAAGGAAGGAAGGAAGGAAGGAAGGAAGGAAGGAAGGAAGGAAGAGGATTTGGGGCAGAAGAAATGTTTTGACTTATCAAAGTTCAGTTTTGGCGATGTGAGAGATGTGGCCAAACAATTTTCATGGTTTCAGAAGGGGGCGGGAAATATGTGAAGCGGGAAATAGGATGGGTTGGCAACTCTTGGGCCAAAGAAATGATATAAGTTACCTGAATTACATACATTGTCATCCCTTTCCTCTTGCATTACAGGTGGTCCTCAACTTACGACCACCATGGAGCCCAAAATTCATGCCGCCGAGCAAAACATCCGTTAAGGGAGCTTTGCCCCATTTGAACGACTTTTTCTTTTCCTTCTTTCTCAGTGCTGCTGCGACTTTGAACGGTCGCTAAGTGAATTGTCGTAAGTCGAGGACTACCTGTAGCCTGTAAAATCGAGGCCTCGCTAATCACGTGGAACCGGGTCTGTGTACGGTTTAGGGAGAAGAGACTTACCAGAAGTGAGAGCAGCAGCGTTCTCCTCTTCATGTAGTATTTGTGGAGCTGAGTGCCTCGATTCGTCTTCTTGGACATGCCTGAGAAAGACAAATGGTTATCCAACATCTTCTTAAAAACCTCCAGTGTTGGAGCATCCACAACTTCTGAAGGCAAGTTGTTCCACTGATTAATTGTTCTAATTATCAGAAAATTTCTCCTTAGTTCTAAGTTGCTTCTTGCCTTGATTAGTTTCCTCCCATTACTTCTAGTCCTGCCTCCAGGTGCTCCATATATATATTAAACAGGCACATATATATATACTTTGTTCTTATTTACTATTATTTCCACTCTTTGAGGACTGTGTGTTGATCAGTAACATACAGACCAGAGTATAGAATAACAGAGTTGGCAGGGACCTTGGAGGTCTTCTAGTCCAACCCCCTGCTTAGGCAGGAAACCCTACACCACTTCAGACAAATGATGATCCAATCTATTCTTTAAAACTTCCAGTGTTGGAGCATTTACAACTTCTGGAGGCAAGTTGTTCCACTGATTAATTGTTCTAATTGTCAGGAAATTTCTCCTTAGTTCTAAGTTGCTTCTCTCCTTGATTAGTTTCCATTCCTTGCTTCTTGTCTTGCCTTTAGGTGCTTTGGAGAATAGCTTGACTCCCTCTTTTTGGGGGCAGCCCCTGAGGTATTGGAAGACTGCTATCATGTCACCCCCTAGTACTTCATCAGACTAGACATAACCCAATTCTCACAACCGTTCTTTATATATTTTAGCCTCCAGTCCCCTAATCATCTTTGTTGCTCTTCTCTGCACTCTTTCTAGAGTCTCAACATCTTTTTTATAATATGGTGACCAAAACTGGATGCAGTAGTCCAAGTGTGGCCTTACCAAAGCATTATAAACTAGTATTAACAAGTCATGTGATCTTGATTCTATCCCTCTGTTGATGCAGCCCAGAACTGGGTTGGCTTTTTTGGCAGCTGCGGCACACGGCTGGGTCCTATTGAAATGATTGTGCACTAGGACTCCAAGATCTGTCTTGCCGTTACGACTATTCAGCAAGGTACCACCTATACTGTACCTGTTCGTTCGGTTTGTCTCGCCTAAATGATGGCTCTCAAGAAGAAACTGCTGTGGTCTGTTTTCCATTGTGCTGGAAAGGTTCAAGGCTCCAGCTGGGGCCAGGCATTCACAGACAACGAATTTACCTGCCCCAGTTGTTGGGAGGATTAAACAGGAGTTTTAGTGGTGCTTAAAATACAGCAAGACACACCTGATTTTTTGGAGATGGTTGACATGCCGCTGGATAAAGGGTAAGTGTTGATCCATCCCTGGGTGGCTTGCTGGCGGGAACCCACTGTGATGTCAAGATTGCTCCGGGTGTCTTGGTTATCTGAAGGTTTGTTTTTTTAAAAACAAACAAACATCCCATTGGCACCAAGCCAGACAATCAATAGCAATACAACTAGCAATAGCACTTATATACTGCTTCACGGTGCTTTACGGCCTTCTCTAAGCGGTTTACAAAGTCAGCTGTCAACTCATAAAATATTTCTATGATCTTTTTGGAGTTGCCAACAGAAAGGGAGGGGGGGAAATTAGCATGGAAACCAAAAGTGCATTCCATCAATGTTTTCAGAGATAGTAACTAGGTGACTGAAGTTTCTGCCGTGCAAAATTCTAACTGAAGAGCAGGATTGATGACTCTGGGCTATGGATGTGTCTCATTGGAGAATATGAATTACAATACACGCAGGGGGTGGGGGGAAAACCAGGGTCAAGGGTGACAATGAATGATGTGCCTCAGAGTCGGCTACATCCAGGCAGTGCTGGACAGTTTAACTCCCAATAAATCCTTTTTAAGTTTTGGAAGTTTGGCTCGGGACTCATGATTTAAATGGGGGGGAACTGCTGGAATCCTGGCATCAGCCTCTTGCCCCCAACAATCTCGGTCCTCATTTTAACGACCTCAAAGCTCAAAACAACAAGGGACAAATGAGTTCCAGAGGGGTTGGGCTTAAGACTATTTGTGGGAACGTAACGATTCTAGGCTGATGACTCACTTAACTCCCCTGGCTCTGCCTGCCCTTCTCCTACTCTGTGAAACACGTACCTGGAGGCACAAGCTGGCTGGCGGTTAAATATTTCTTGTCGGAGAACATTGCAGTCCAAAACTTGATGAGGATGATGATGTCCTCGCGCAGCCGCTTCTCTCCTTGAGTTGGACACTTGGGGGCGGAGCTTCAATGAGAAGGCAAACAACATTAGGATAGGAGAGGCATTTGGCCAAGACAATGCACACCTTGCAGGTCATCGTGCCTCAGGTGTTCTATGAATCAGCTTTGGGGCTCCCCTCATCCTTCCTCATCTGATCCCTGGGGTAACCAGAATATTTTATATTGTTGCAGTCAAGGGTCCTATTACTATTTGGGATGGCCTTTTATTGCTTCATGATTGTTTGTAGATTCTCTGCATTTTTGTTAGGTTGTAAGACATCAATCAATCAATCAATCAATCAATGAGAATAGAGCTGGAAGGGACCGTGGAGGCCCCTAAACCATTTCAGGTAGGTCACTGAAACTTTTCTGTTGTTGCTGCTTCTTTATTTTTTGCAATTTGCCAAACTTGTCTTGGTTGAACTGGATGGCTGTACAAATATTTTAAATGAAGGAATAAAATAGAACTTCCAGCTAGAGCTGCAAATCTTCTAAGCTTCAACTTGATGAACGTGCCACGATAATCTAATGTTTTCAGTCAGGATATGCATTATCTCAGTGGCTGAGATTATGTGCTGTGCTGAAACCAAATCAACCCCATTTGTGTGAAAAGATCCTTTTAACAAACACAGGGGAATCTGCCTTGGAGGGACGTGACAGAGAAGCAAGTTGTAGTCTATGAGATTTTTTTTTAAAAATCCATTAGGGAGAGTTGGAAGACATGCTTAGCTGACTTTAGTTGATCAGCCAAGTCAGCCTCGGTTAGTATCTGGATGGGAGGCTAGTTTAGGAAGACTGTAGATTACGCTGGGATATTTAAAAAAAAAACACGCCCCACATCACCATGCGAGAAATCAGTGGCAAATCACTTCTACATCTTGCCAAGAAAACTGCAAAGATGTTAAGCCAGTACCCAAGACTTGAGCTGAGCTTGACTTCAGTTTCTCTTCACTATCTTCCACCATGGAGAAGGAGAAGGAAGGAGGGAGAAGGGGGAGAAAAGCGGGAGGAAGAAGAAGAGGAGGAGAGAGAAGGGAAAGGAGGAGGAGGTGGAGAAGGAGGACGAGGAGAAGGAAGAGAAGAAGGAGAAAGAGAAGGAGGGGAAGGAGAAGGAAGAGGAGGAAGAGTAGAAGGAGAAAGAGGAGAAGGAGGAGAAAGAAAAGGAGAAGGAGGAGAAAGGGAAAGAGAAGGAGAAGGAGGAGGAAGAGGAGGGTAATACCTGAAGTAATCAAAAGCCGTGGAATAGATTTTTTCTCTTAAGACGTTGCGAATTGTTGCGTTTGGGATGACATCGGCATGCAGCAGAGACAGCCCCAGCGTTAAGAGCCTAAAAGAGTCCAAAATAATTCCATCAGGGTCTTTAGACAGGACACTCAAAAGGGTTAAACAGGAAGAGATCTGTGCAATACAAAACGAAACGGCAGGACGACAAAAGCCATGATCCATCCCACCTTACTTCAATGAGCAAAAAGTACAAGGGGGGAATATCAAGAGCCTCCTTTTCATTCCGCTTGGAAAAACAGGGAAATCACACGGCATTAATAAATAGGGATGTTATATTTTCTTCCAAAAAATAAATAAATGAAGAGGGGACAACTGCGAGGACCTGAGAAAACCAGATCTCTGCCAATCCGACAGGTAAGCTCAAAACTAAACTCTCTTTGATATCCTTCGTGCCTGCTCCCGCCTCTGGAAAAATAAATAAACGAAGACATATCCAGGGCATCTCGCTTACTTAAAACGGGGTCCGATGGCCGCCACGTGGCGATTCATGCTCCCCTTCCATCCGCCGATATTCAAAGACAGGGAACGCTGGAGTAAGCTGGCAAAAATCTCCACCTGATCCGAACTGCAGTACTTGGCAATTTCAAACCTCTGCACCAAGAACTGTAGATAGAGAAACCAAAAGTTAGACATCTGTCTGTCTGACAAGCCAATGTTGGCCACGAAGCTGATTTCCTGCAGGTTGGTGACGGGCCAACTCACAAGGGAATGAGGGTAGTCGATGGAGGTGAGATTCCTCAATAGCTATTAATCCAGTTTGGTCTAGTGGTTAAGGCACCAGGGCTAGCAAGCAAGGGATTGATGAGTTCTAGTCCTGCCTTAGGCACAAAAGCTGACTGGGTGACTTTGGGCCAATCACCAGGAGACAGTGAGTTCTAGTCCTGTCTTAAGCATGAAAACTGACTGGGTGATTTTGGGCAACAGATCAGGAGACAGTGAGTTTTAGTCCCACCTTAGGCATGAAAGCAAGCTAGGTGACTTTGGGCCAATCACCAGGAGACGGTGAGCTCTAGTCCTGCCTTAAACATGAAAGCTGGCTGTGTGACTTTTGGCCAACCATAGGAGACTGTGAGTTCTAGTCCTGACTGGGGCATGAAAGCTAGCTGGCTGACTTTGGGTTGATCACCAGGAGACTGTGAGTTCTAGTCCCGCCTTAGGCCTGAAAGCCAGCTGGGTGACCTTGGGCCAATCACCAGGAGAAGGTGAGTTCTAGTTCCACCTTAATCATGAAAGCCACCTGGGTAGCTTTGGGCCAATCCTTCTCTCCCACCCTAACCCACCTCTCACAGGATTGTTCGGGGGACAAAAAGGAGAAAGGAGTATTGTATATGTTCGCCGCCTTGAGTTATTTGTAAAAATAATAAAAGGCAGCAAACAAAAGCAAAAGATAATAAATATTGTCCCCTTTTGGTTTTAGGATGGCCGTAAAGTGTCTCTCTTAGCTACTATCTTCTAATCGACCTCTGCTGTAAAAAAAAAAAGTAAAACAAAACTTGGGAGGGAGATACTTGCTTCTATCCAGATGTAATGTGGGGTGACCTCCGGTGGGCACGGTTTTGGTTGGCTTTCTTCGGAGGCGGCTAAAGGGTCGGCTTCTTTCTGCTCGGTGGAAAACAGCCCAAATTTGTGCTCCACGGTCATCTGCCAAGCTCCAGCCATCTCTCTCATGAACTAAGAGAAGCGAAACCATTACTATTTTTGGGTGCAGCAGACTTTAAAGTTTATTATAAATACACTTAAAGAGCCAGTTTGGTCTAGTGCAGGGGTGTCCAACCTTGGCAACTTTAAGACTTGTGGACTTCAACTCCCAGAATTCCTCAGCCAGCATAGTTCCCGGGTAGAACTAGCCAGCATAGTTCCCAAAAGTACCCGGGTAGAAACCAGGAGGTGGTGATTTCTAGTCCAACCTTAGGCATAAAAGCCACCTGGGTGACTTTGAGCCAATCACAAGGAGGCAGTGAGTTCGAGTCCAGAGGCATATAAGCTGGTTGGTGATTTTGAGCAAATCGCTAGGAGATTGTGAGTTCTAGTTCTGCCTTAGGCATAAAAACCAGCTGCGTAACTTTGGGCTAATCTCTAGGAGACTGTGAGTTCTAGTCCCGCCTTAGGCATGAAACCCAACTGGATGATTTT